CTTTCCCTAAGGAGGCTTTGAGCACTGCCTGGGCTTGGATTACAGCATGAGTCACAGCGTGAGCTGTGAGTCACTTTATGTTAGTCATCTGAGACAGCTTTCTGATCCCCAAATCTCTGGTCTAGTAGAAGAGAAGAGAGGAAGATGTGTGAGCTCACTTCTCCTGCTTGTGATTTTTTTCTTGCTTCATATATTCCTCCTTTCATAGTATGTCCTAAGAAGGCACAGACAAGGCTGGGGAAACAGTAGTATTAGGCAAGAGTATTTTTCTACTTCTCTGTCACGGTCCTGCAGGAAACAGCTCGTTTGCACAAAGTCTTTCATTCAAGAGCGTTTACTAAGGGGACTATTTACAGGGGTGCAAACAGACTCTTCTGTCTGTTTGGGTTACGAACCCCACAAGGAATGGTGAGGACCAGGAACAAGCACGAGCCGGCAGCCGATACCACGCGCAGGCCTGTAGAAGGGAGCGGGCATGGTGTTACTGGTCCCAGGGAGAGCTGTAGCTGGGGAAGAGGGGACACTCAAAAGTCCCCATGTGTTCATCCAAAACAGGAACACAACCACTGTAAAAACCATGGTCTGGCAGGGCTTCCCTGGTGGCGCAGTTGTTGAGAGTCCGCCAGCCGATACAGGGGACATGGGTTCGTGCCCCGGTCCGGGAGGATCCCGCGTGCCTTCACTCAAAAGTCCCCATGTGTTCATCCAAAACAGGAACACAACCACTGTAAAAACCATGGTCTGGCAGGGCTTCCCTGGTGGCGCAGTTGTTGAGAGTCCGCCAGCCGATACAGGGGACATGGGTTCGTGCCCCGGTCCGGGAGGATCCCGCGTGCCTTGGAGTGGCTGGGCCCGTGAGCCGTGGCCGCTGAGCCTGCGCGTCTGGAGCCTGTGCTCTGCAACGGGAGAGGCCACAACAGTGAGAGGCCCGCGTACCACAAAAAAACAAAACAAAACAAAAAAACCCCATGGTCTGGCAAGGGGGCATGGTGGGATAAATAGATCGATGACTCCTCTTTCTTCCTGCTCTCTGATCTTCCAGCACCACCCATTGACCAAAGTTAATTGGAAGCCAGAGGACTAGAGTCTGTCAGGGCACAGGGCAAGACCAAGAAGGGTGGAGAGTGGAGGGGCAAACAGAGTAACCAACACACAGTCAACATTTGAATGTTTAAAAAATGGTCCACTTACTCCAGACAGCAAACCACTAAGTACAACTTATTAGACTTTTTATTAGAATACTGGACTTCTGTACGTGCCAAAGAAATGCAACACTGCCTCGTGGAAGATCAGCAGATAAATGGCAAACAGGGCCCCTGGTTCCTGATCTCTTGATGAGTGGGGTTTAGATTTTCTCTCCCTGGCCCTTCACAACTCTCCTCACCCTGCATTTTGTGTCTGTCAGGGACAATAAAAATCTGTGCCAATATATACACGTTTCTAGAATCATAGGTTTTTCGGAAGGCTATCTTGTTCAATGCCCCACCCCATCCCCACACATCAGGCAGCCCTTTGACAGCACTGATGTAAAAAGTACTTGAGTAAAGTAACTTTGTAAACTTCACAAAGTACTTTACAAAGTACCTGAGTAAGTACTTTGGTGGCAAATTATTTACCACCCCCTGAGGGAAACTTATATAACAAATCTGTTTTTAAAAGTTAATACCAAGCCACAACAAACTTTATTAAAAAGTTTCCTCTTTCAAGTGACAAGTTTTATCAAAGTTAGGTCCTTAAAGGACAACTTAAAAGTTGAAATTTTTCTCAGTTTAGCTGGTAACTTCAGGATGATTCCACATCATCCGTACTACTTGGCCATGGTTTCATTCTCCTGAGGTGTTTTGTTAAATGGAGTCTGGAGTCCCACAGATTCTTCTTTGCTGCTGCTGCAGAGTAAAATCAACTCGGGAGTGGAGTGAAGGTGTTGGGCTAAGGGGGTGAAGAAGTTACCTGGGGACAAGAACTAGATACTTTTAGGGAGAAGAATAGGGACACAATGATATTGTTGTTAAAGAATTACTACTTAAAGGTCGAAGAGGAAGAGAAACAGCATAAAATTAAACAGGGAATCTTTGTAGCACTCAGGAACCCAAAAGGTCTGAAAAAATAAAACTGGAAGATTCAGTGATAGTGTCTGTTTATTCCTATGGATCTATTCTCACCCTTCTCTACTCTGCTGTGTCCTGGAGGCTGACCTATATGGGCTACATCATCTTCCCTCTGGGTTTCAGATTAGCTTCAGCCATTTGGGACCAGGCAGGAGATTGGAGGGGAAGAGAGTAAGGCTGGAATATTCATGCTGCCTCCCGTTCTTCCTCCCTGTGGGGTCCCTGCCGGCTGACTGCATCCCTCAACTCAAGGCCATAGCCTCAGTCAGCCTGCCCTTTTTACACTGTTCTCTCTCTCTCTCTCTCTCTCTCTCTCTCTGTCTCTCTTTCTCTCTCTGGATTTCAGTAACCCTCTCCCATTCAGGCCTGGGCACTGCAAAACCCTTGTGGTTTCCCACACCCTGCCCGCAACTTTGTAAGTAGCCCTGTTCGTTATAAAATTGCCCAACTGGAATGAGCCATCTGTTTCCTGCCAGCACCCTGACTGACACACTCAGTCCCATTCTTCTCCCAACATTTACTGAGTAGCTACTATATTTCAAGGAAGAATAAAATGATAAATTAGACAGTTACTAATCTCAAGGAGGCTGTCTGGGGAGTGGAGACAGCCACAGGAACAGATGGTTATATCACATCTTGATAAGTGATGCAGAGAGGCACTGGATGGGGAGGTGGGTAGAAATGTAAAATAGGAGCATAGGCAGACTCAGGGAAGGTTTCTTGGTGGAGATGGGGTTGGACAATTTTAGAGGCAGGGACATGGGTATGGAGTGGTGAGGAGATGGGAGAGAAGCCATGAACATCAGGGCCAGACCGTAGAAAGCCTTATACCGTGGGTAGGGGTCCTTCTTTTCCACTTCTTTACTCTCTTTCTCTTTCTCCCTTTCTTTTTACCAACAAGGGGAAAATAGTGACATCAGTGAAGTCTGCAGGCCCTTACTCTTAGACCTCAATCTTGCCCCACTACCAGTGCTTGACACTCCTACTTCCTTGCCTAAAACCTGTCTTTTCCATTGAAAATCACTCCCGTACATCTCCTGCATATTCTAAGGCCTTTCAAAATGGCAAGATGACAATTTGGTAAACTAGTCCTTGGAGGAGAGCCACAGGAGAGAGCTAGAAGTGAACGTTCCCAAGTGCATTCTAGGAGCCCTAACAGCCAGAGCCCCATTTTCTTTAACAGCAGTTGATAACACTGACACTTTTCTTGTCCAATGGAGAAGGGTAAACTTAATGTTGGAAAGAAGGCAGGGAGTGAGTGAGCTTCACTCCACCAAGGTGGGGCTTTAGTTCAAATAGGTTTGAGCAGGTGGCACTTTTAAGATCCATTTTTATCACATATGGACAAGTCCAGGGTCCAGGAGGTATCTGCCTTCTCTCTCTTAAGCGCACACTGCCAGTAGTTTCCTTGCTAGGTAAGGCCAGGTCCACACAGTCCCACAGTTGCCTCCTTGGCATCAAAGACAGCCAGTCCTCTAGAACTGCGGTTCATGAGGCTTCGTTAGTCAAAATCACACACACAAAGCCACCCAACGGACCCCTCTCTTCTGTTAACCGAGAGTGCGCACCACTGCCTCCCCTCATATAAGGAAAGAGACACGGGAAGAGTTAAAAGAAAGTGGTGGGTATGGAAACCTCAGCACTCTCGCTCTCAGCAAGTAACCGGATCGGTTATTCGAGCTCTCCGCAAGCACGGACGCCGGGCCAGGGGCGGCCACCCCGCAGCGAGAGCTCTGGGCGGCCACTAGAGCCCGAGGGTGGGGCTAGTCTCTGAGCACCGGCCAGCTGCCCGCCCCCTGGAGGCCCCGCCTCCCAGACAGGCACGCGAGAAAGCCCCTCCCTCGGGCGCTCCTAGAAGTCGACGCCGCGTCCCGCTGCTGTGCCAGTACCTAGAGGCCTCCGGCGCCGCTTTGCGGAGTTCCTGTGGCTACCACCGCACGGAGTATGGGGCGCTGATGGCCATGGAGGGCTACAGGGGCTTCCTGGGGCTGCTGGTGTCGGCGCTGCTCGTCGGGTTCCTGTCTGTGATCTTCACCCTCGTTTGGGTCCTCCACTACCGGGAGGGGCTCGGCTGGGACGGGACCGCGCTCGAGTTTAACTGGCACCCTGTACTCGTGGTCACCGGCTTCGTCTTCATCCAGGGCATCGGTACTGGCACCTCCTGGGAGGAGGCGGGGAGGCAGGGGCCGGGAGTTCCCGACCGAGTTCCAACCGAGTGGGGTTGGGCGAGGGAGGGGGTGAGGGAGTAGCGCGCGGCGGCCCGGGAGCGGAGTCGGCGGGGCGCGGCGCTGGAGGGAGGTGGGCGGGCTCCGAGGCCCGGGGGCAGCGGGCCGGGCAGACTTGGGCGAGCGCTGGGGCGGAGCGCGCGGGGCCGGGGTTCGCGGTGAGACGCGTGGCGGGGTCGGCTGGGCACTGACGCGGCGCGGAGGGCTGGCCGGGCGCGCTAGCCCGGCTTGGTTAGTAACTCTTTGCTGCGAGTGGTTGCGACGCGATACCAGACGACACCAAACGCGGGAGCGGAGGAGAGATGCGGGAGCGTGGTGCGGCCCGGCAGCCCACGAGCCCCCGAAAATCTCCCCCTGTGGACCGAGCCTGCGCCATCACAGGCGCGGAGATCACTTTAGGCGACGCCTTTCGTTGAACTTGCTTCAAGGCTGCGGGTTAGGAGAGGAAGGCAACGGGGACAGGGGGGTGGCGGTGGGAATGGAGGGGCGAGAATTTGCCTCTTCTTGTCTCATCCTCAGCCCTGAGCGAAGGGGCCCGTCAGCGGGTAGCCGGTGTGAGTGAAGGAAGCATCAGCTCTGGTTTCACTCCTAGAGCGTTAAACGCAGTCGAGCCGAGAAGCTGCCAAGACTCTGAAGGGTGTTTCGCTGCCCTGCCTGGTTATTGGACAGTCTTGAGCCCGACTTGTTTTTGTGGCTGCTGCCCAGAGAAAGTTCCCCTGCGGGGCTTCCTGTTGGGCGCTAGCCCGGAATGCGGGGCCAGAGATGCCCGAGGGGGCCCCTCGGCTGCTGGGCTGGGAGAGATGCTTCTGCTTGGAACATCTTTGGGGTTTGCTGCCTCGGCCTGCAGCCTCTGGGATGAGGCTGGCACGGAGGGAGCGCTCAGCGGATGGCAGTTTTTGTTCTTGTTTTTGAGATATAATTGATATATTAGTTTCAGGTGTGTAACATGATTATATGTGGAAATGTCTAATTAACATCCATCACCTCACGTAGTTACAATTTTTTCCCCCCTTGGGATGAGAACTTTTAAGATCTAGTCTCTTTAGCAATGTCCAAATCTACAGTATAGTAGTATTAACTGCCGCCATCATTCTGTACATTACATCCCCAGGACTTATAACTGGAAGGTTGTACCTTTTGACCACCTTCACCCATTTTCCCCCCTTACCTCCTCTCTCCGTCAGTGTCCGGTTTTGTTGTCTTTGTCTAGTGCTGCTCACAATGTCCTGACAGCTTCCTTTCCTTCAGCTGCTGTTGAGCTGGAGGAACCTCTAGCTAGTGGTGCAACCACTTTCCAAAAAGTGAAGTCAAGGCCTTGGCAGAGAAAGTATTTAGAACAAGGCAGAAAGTAGCGGACTGGAGTTATGTCGTAGAAAGTAATGGAGAGGAGTGGAAAGGACTTGGGAAATAGGTGCCCACCAGCCGAAACCTCTAGCCTTGCCTCTGAGCAAGCTGCCTTTTCTCCACCAGTATTTAACTTTCCACAAACAAAGAAGAGAACAAAAAAGCGCCCACCTCCTTTCTATTTTTTTTTTTTTTTTTTTTTT